ACATAAGTAAAATGTAGTAATAACGAAATGTTGACCTCTTATGTTAATTAAATTTTTTAAAATATATTTATAAGTGAAGGAGGACATCATTGCACGTAAATCTAATTACAGACATTCCCAGACATTACCTGTGTCACTTGTTCTCAAAATCCTATCCATTCACAAGCCACATGTATCCCTCCAATCAAAATCTCCAATATCTAAATTAAAAAACAAAAAAGTTGAAAAAAAATCGAAAACAAAGAAAAAGGAAAAAGGGAGAAAAAGGAGAGATGCTCGCGAAGGAATCGGGGAGTTCGAACTTCGATCTTCCCGAGGAAGTGTTGGAAGTACTGCCGCCGGATCCTTTCGAGCAGCTCGATGTGGCCCGCAAAATCACGTCCCTTGCTCTCTCGACACGTGTCTCGGCCCTGGAATCAGAGTCGTCCGCTCTGCGCGAGAAGATGGCCGAGAAGGACCGGCTCATTGCCGACCTCCAATCACAGGTGGAGTCCCTGGACGCCTCTCTCTCCGAAACCGCCGACAAGCTCGCCCTCGCCGACCAGGAGAAGGTCCGACCCGGCCCAAGAATTTCAACCCTGTTCAGTTTTCAGTGAATTCGTTGACTAAATTTGACTTGGGTTCCGAAATTGCAGGGGGGATTGGCGAAGGAGAAGGCCGTACTCGCCAACACTGTGAGGAAGCTGAACAGAGATGTCTCGAAGGTATAACTACAATTTGAAATTTCACGTTGCGGAGGTAAAAACGGCGCCGTTTTTCTGTTAGACTAAGCTTGGTTTGCTAACGTGCGCAGCTGGAGGTGTTCAGGAAGACCCTTATGCGATCACTTGCAGAGGATGAAGAAAATCCTGTAAGCAATTTTATTTAATAACGTTTCTGTTTTTAATTATTTTAATTAATTTGATATGTTGGATTGGATTTTGTGACGCAGAGTGGAGCTTCAGAGGTTGTTGCTAAGCCTACTAATACTGTACAAGCCGAAGAGCACTTGTCTTCAAAACCACATGATGGAGATGGAGGTTTGCTGTCCCGGAATCTTAATTTTCAGTTTTTCATCGTAGTTTTGTTCTAGTCGTATGTTCAATTCATTGTCGTAAAACAGTCACATGTTTATGTTGTCAGGCGATAAATTGCGGAAAAATATTAACCATTAGACTGTGAATGCCTATGTGTCCCCTTTGTTACCGTTTGCATGTTTTGTTTTTGGCCAACTCCATATGCTTTATATCTTTTGGTTCTCTGCTTTGGCAATGTACAACGAAACGATAATTTGACAGTAATTTCAGAAGGTGATGTCACATTTTCCACATTACCACCGTCGAGGTCATCTTCAGTCCAAAGCACGTTTTCTGAAAGAGGAAGTACGTTTACTGAGGATCGCGACACAGATGGTACTGTTTGAATTAGGATCTTGGTCTCAAAAAAATGGCTCCAGTTATGCTTTAAGTGAACAACTTTTTAACATGTCAAATTTAATCTTGTTGTATTTCTTGTGCTTTCTTTTTGCAATGGCAGCCTCAAGACCTCGCATAGCACACAGCCTCTTGCTAGCATCCCAAACTAGCACACCCCGGTTCACTCCCCCAGGTTCTCCTCCTATCTATTCTGCATCCACATCACCAACAAGAACATCGAAACCTGGGTCTCCAAAGCGACATTCCATGTCCTTCGCCACCTCAAGAGGCATGTTTGACAACAGATCATCTGTGCCCTCAAGCCATCACAGCTCTGAATCCGGTTAGCTCGAGAAACCTTCTGTAGAAATTGTTTAATCACAGTTCCAAATAATTTTTGTTTTTAGGTAGGATGTGGTGTATCTCTGCAACAATGTTAAATAGTTTGGTCACTGTTCATGTATGGTTATTTGATTCTCGCTTATTCTGTTTCAGGAAGAACTAGGGTGGATGGGAAAGAATTTTTCCGCCAAGTCAGGTAAAGTCACTAATTAAGTTTTGGAATTTGAATCTTGTGCGAAAGAACAAGTTACAGAAATTTACGCCTGAAAAATATTGAAACAGATGAAAAAATGCTCCTCCAAAGTAATAACACAGAACAATCCCAAACCGCTAAGGTTGTTTAACGAACTTTAAATCAATTGAACCAGGTTTACAATTCATTCAACGCCATGATTCACATCTTACTACCGCTATTTCTAGTAGTTCTAACTTCCAAGTAACTGGCTGTGAGACTCTGAATGCTTATGAACCGCGCAAGGAATAAGCCTGGTGCATTGCCATCCCCATTAGTTCTGTAACTACATGAGACGGTCATAAAGCATGGAACTGGTTCTCGAGTCTTGAATGCCACCTTTTAAGCAGTCACTTGTTTGATGAGCGGTTCGGTGCATTCTAGAAAATATTGAGGAAGTTCATTCTCACAGTGTGGTTTTGTATCTTTTTCTCCTGCAGGAGTCGTTTGTCTTACGAGCAGTTTGGTGCATTCCTGGCAAATGTTAAGGAACTAAACGGCCACAAGCAAACCAAAGAGGTATGCGCTTCCTTCCTTGAGTTCCTTCCATCCTCGCTCTCTCGCTCAGCGTTTGTTCCTTTTTATTTGATTTTTGTCCATTAACACTTGATTGAGCGACTGTTCTGCAAAATTTCAGGAGACATTACAGAAGGCAGATGAGATATTTGGGCCAGATAACAAGGACCTATATGCTATTTTTGAAGGATTAATCAGTCGCAATATCCATTAAACTGACGGTTCGATGCTTGTAAAGGCCGGTTTTACCACTTCAATCTGTTTTTTTTTTTATTTGGCTGTAAATTAAATACGAATTAAACCAGGTTTACTATTCTTTGAACTCCCGCTACTTAACTGTATGAGTAGTAACTTCGACATTGTTGGAAAACAGCTTGTTCTTGTTCCGAGTCCGTTCTTGAAAATAAAGATAAAAATAAAAAAGATAATTCTCATTTTGTTACCCTCAAGTATCGTGAAATTCATACTTTGTTATTCTTAATTTTTTTTTTTTTTTTGTCTCAGTTTCATTCCTAAACCTTGATTTTTTTTATGCTTTAATACTTAGGTTTTCTGTTAAGTTTTTCATTAAGTGATGACGGACATAACTTAACAGAGAAGTTGAAGGAATGACTAGCAGATATATTAAAGTGTTAAAATAAAAAAATAAAAAAAATCAAAGTTTAGATATGAAACTGAGACAAAAAAAAAAAAAAAAACCTGCTGATAGTGTAAATTTCACATTACTTGAGAGTAGTGAGGTGAGAAGTACTTACATCAAAAAAATTTATATGTGAATATCAAGTTTTTCTTTCATGGTACGTGTTAATGCTGAGCCCATTTAGGCCCACCTAAGGACATAAGACCAAGGAAATTTCAGGAAGCCCAAGGCCTAAGGATTCTTGAAAAGACCGGCCCGTGTGCTCACTTCGATTGAGACAAGAGAAAGGTTTCCCGACCAAGAAGAACCCGTGGGCACATGGGCACATGGGCACAAGTCTCCAAGAATAGAAGTACTCGAGTGCTACTTGGACTGCTCGACGACATGCAAGCAACAACAGATGCCTAGGATGGGACATAAAGGTTATCGGGGCTGTGTTTGGCAAGGCAATGCAGAGCAACTGAGGCCTGAGCAGGACGCTCGAGCTATCTGGGCCTTAAAAGTCGTGCCATCCGACTGCTAATACATCACTTCGTCGACAAAGGCCAGGTTGGTGGTGAAAAGTTATCAGTAGGCTGGTACAAATCGTTGGCACATAAAATGCTGTTTTGAGAGGTCTCTATGGGGAAGGGCTTATATAAAGGGGTAGAGACTTTCATTGTGTGGGTCGGATAAATAAGAGAGAATAGAGTGGATGCATTAGCCGAGTTCTATATAGTCTTGAAATCAATACATTGAAAGCAACACAGTGCATTGAGGGATGAACCACTTACAACTTTGAGTCTATTCAATCTTAGATTCTTAGTCCACCTAAAATTATTTATTTAAGTTTTTTAACTTTATAATTTTCAGTGTCTATAGTACGTATCACTGAATAGTTTGAAAAATTAACAGATTTTTACAGCAGTTAAATAATTCAAAAAATGGTACCACTAAATGAGACATAGCAATGTCGGACTCGTGGAAAAGACTTTCTTCAGTACCAAACTTTAACAACTTGATATTACTTGAATCAGAGTCCATCCTTAAAGTGTTGTTTCCCTGAAGATTGGCTTTTCACAAATTCACAACGACAAGGAATGCTTTTGAAATTGCACTTAAGGTAATTAACGTAGTACATGGTTTTTTCATACAAATGACAAACGTGACGAGTTGATATAATTATATAGACTATTTTGACAAAATAATGGTATTAGGAGGTGAATTCTTGTATTTCACTTGGGATAAAGCATTATTAGGTGATTTATTTTGTCATTATGAATTATGAGGGATAAGAGTGTAAAAGAATACATTGACACCCTATGCTGAGATCAAATGAAGCACATTCTAAGCCGGTTATTAGGACAAACCTGACCCCAATAGGTGAATAATAAACTTACTAAACTGTTAGCAGTACTCTAAAAATCTCATTTGTATTTCAAACTTTCTACGTTTAAAAAAAAAAAATACAATTGTGAGAAGTGTGATACAGCCCCACACACAGCACAGTCTGCTAGATACTCCCCCTCATTTCAGACCGTTGATTGTTAATTTTTGCCATGTGTCAAAAACCCAGAAATCGTGTAAACTGTAGGAGTTGGGGAACCTCCATAGCCATACGTGCTTGCTTGCAAAGCCTTTCACAAACATGCTAAAATTACACGTTGCTATTTCTACTTATTTTAGACAGATCAGATAGACTGGATTATGAAGCTAGCGTTGTGCCAATAACAAATAAAAGCCGATTTTTATGCATGAATATTCGCTGAATTGTCCAGAAATGCAGGAATATTTAAAGGGAAAAAACAGGAAAAATCATGGCAGCCACTATTTTCCATTTCTCTCTCTCTCTCTCTTGGTTTTCTCTCTCTAGTTTTCTGCGTGTGTGGTGTGTCGTTCCTTTGTCTTCTGAAACCTTCAGCAGCTCTCTTTGGTTTGTGGCGGCCTCTGAAAATTCATGGAAGATGCCCCAGAATCTGAACCAGAAACTTCTTCATGGTAATCACCTCCGTGCCTGCTTTTCAGATCATAGCTTCGGGTTTGGCGGCTTTTGTCTCTAAGCAGTAAGCAGTCAATCTTTCAAACTTTAATCATGCAATGGTAAAATTTTCATTTCCTTTTAGTAATATGAACGTATGACCTAGGGGCTTCATTTACTTGTCACATTGCATTCATTAGGATAAAATACGAGTCATTTCTCCTTGCAGACAAATCAGAATGCAACTTGTGTGTAGAAACTTTTCTTGAAGTTGTTTTTATAATACAAGCGACAATTTTCTTTAAACTAACTTAAATTGCATTCGGTAGCACATCTACTCTAGCCAATGTGACTACGCCTACGTCTGCTTCTCTTCTTATTTTAAATGAGATATGTTTGTATATGTGTCCAACTATAGTTTGTTTCTTACATGTGAGGAGCCAAGCATTATCGTTTTGCTGGTACATTTTTCATTTACACTATGGTTTGGTTGGTTTACAATGTCGCTTTGGAATTTTGTGTGTTTTCGGATTTTATTTGTTTTGCTTTGAATATTCCTGTTTCTCAAGAGATGATGTTTCAACGGTTCTTCTCTAATCCATACACAAATGATTTGTTTGATTCTATATACGTACCTTGAGATATTTCTTTATGCATGTGTCATATTTTGTGGCCCTTTTCTTCCCGTTTCCCTCCCCACATGGATGGTTGGAACTAGTACTACATCATCTTGGTTTGGCTGAATTTGCTCTTTAGGCTCTCTAACGCTGTTGGATTTTGTCATATTTTCTGTTCTTTGCTGACACGAAGCTTCGTATGGGCAGCAATGGTTCCCGCGAAACGGCCAAAGACAATCAAGAAGCGCAGGCTACAACACCTTCTGCTCACGGAGGATCAAGAAGAGCACGAGCTGGATTCTCCGACTCTTTTTCAAGTCAAGGTAACAACTTCGTTTTCCTATTCTTCTAATAATTTTTATTGCATATATATAGCAATGTGGTACTAATTCTGTTGGGATTCTTGTCATATAGACTTGAGATCATTAAATTTGGATGAGGATGTCTCAGTACATGAGCTCTCTTCGAGAGGAGTTTCCGAGGATGAGTACTGCCCGAGAAGCTTGGGATCCGGAGCATCTTCTCCTATGACCAGCACTTCAGACTCGGATGGACGAGGCAGCCGCACTGCTACTTCAGACTCCGATCCAAGAGCCAACTATCAATGGCGCGGTTTCTTTCGTATTTTGAAAAAAGGACCCCAATATCCCTTCCCAACCTTCCCTCCTAAAGGTGCTCAGAAACCAAAACTCACCAGAAGGAAAAGCAAAAGAGTAAGAGAGGACTTCATTCCACAGATCAACTCTCCTACTCTGAGGTCTTTCGATGCTGACTTCTGCCGCTTCAAATCTTCCTGGAAGAATTACTCACTCTTGGAGCTGGAAACCGCAACCAACAACTTCAGCCACGGTGTGTATTCACATTTCTTCATAGAATTACATTGCATTGGCCATATTTCGCGATAATTCCGTTCTTTCAGAAGGGTTGTCACTGTCTTATATGCCGATAACATTCTGCTGTTTGTCCTTGAAGAGAATTTGATTGGAGAGGGAGGCTATGCTGAAGTTTACAAGGGAACATTGGAAGATGGGCAGATTGTCGCAATCAAACGCCTGACTCGGGGTTCTCAAGAAGAAATGACTGCAGACTTCTTATCTGAGCTTGGTGTCATAGTTCATGTTGACCATCCCAATATTGCAAAGTTGATTGGATATGGGGTTGAAGGAGGGATGCATCTTGTTCTTCATTTGTCTCCCCATGGGAGCCTATCGTCTATACTTTACGGTTTGTTTATCATTGCGAATCTTATATACACGAGAATTTATTTCAAACTTACAAGTAAGTGACTCAATGATTTTGCTTCTTCGTTGTGTGTTTTCTAGGACCGAGAGAGAGTTTGGATTGGGACATCAGATATAAAGTCGCTTTTGGTACGGCTAAGGGCCTTCTATATCTTCATGAGGGGTGCCAGAGGAGAATTATCCACAAAGATATTAAGGCTTCTAATATTTTGCTGGCAGAGGATTTTGAGCCTCAGGTACACTCTCATCGATCAATTGCTATGATGGATTATTGAAAAGCTGCGTTGCGTTAATAATTCTCTGTTACCCCGATTTGAATCCAGATATCTGATTTTGGGCTTGCAAAATGGCTACCAGATTCATGGACTCACCATGTTGTATCGAAATTCGAAGGCACATTTGGGTTTGTTAATCCAAAATCTTTAGATTTTTGCTTTTGTACTAAAGTAGTTTTGTTTTCTCTCGATCATTTGACATCTTTTCAACCCCGAATCATGACAGATATCTTCCTCCCGAGTTTTTCATGCACGGCATAGTAGATGAAAAAACCGATGTCTATGCTTATGGGGTGCTACTATTAGAGCTCATCACCGGCAGGCAAGCGTTGGATAGCTCACATAAAAGCCTTGTCATGTGGGTATGTTCTCTTATGTATACCCGGTTCTTTCTTGTTTAATTTTTGTAGGCAGTAAGTAGTATGTATTTTGAAACATTACTTTTCAGGCCAAACCCTTGCTCTCCATGAATAACATCAAGGAGATAGTTGATCCATGCCTCGGCGATGCCTATGACCTGAAAGAAATGAAACGTCTTGCGCTAACTGCTTCATTCTGCGTACACCAGTCTTCAATGAATCGACCACAAATGAGCCAGGCACGTCTTTTATTTCTAACCATGACTGCTCACAAGTTTATCATTTTACAGTGCCTACAAGTGATTACTTCATTAACAAGTTTATGTCGCGTATTCTGGTTTGGTTTTAAATCCGCTGCAGATTGTCCAAATTTTAGAAGGTGATGAAACCAGTTTGGAGTACGCTACAAAATATCACAAGTCTAAACTTCAAAGGACTTATTCGGAGGAGCTCTTGGATGCAGATGAGTACAACTCGACCAAGTATCTAAGTGACAGGGATAAACAACTGGAGTTTATCTTAGGCACTTCTAGTTCTAATGAGGCCTAAACTTTCGAGACAGTTTCGGAAGCAGAAAACGATCAGCCTACGAGAGAAGGAACAGCAGACGACGTTGTTGGAGATGTTAATGTACGTGCCTTGTTAATTACTTGTAATCTGTTACCATGAATGTAATCGAAATTCGAAACGACTGTGGAATGAAAGAAAAGCCAGAGGGAGAGGTGATTACTTTGTGAGCATGTATGTACAGCTGCTGGAACAAGTAAGTAGGTGATTTCTCATGAAGGGTTAAAGTTACAAGTTTAATTTGATTCAAGTTCCTTTCTTCTGAATAGTGCCAATAGTGTTTGGGAAAATGATTCAACTTTCTTTCTTCTCAACTTGATTACACATGTAACGTTTTACTAAAACAAAATTCAATAATGTTAAGAGGTACCAAATTTCGTTAACAAATGATGTTGCAATGTGGTTGAGCTTCATAGTTGGTCGGATTTTACGTCAATCAGACACTGCTAGGTTATTTGGTAAGTAAATATTTAACTATATAATATAAGGTTTTTGGCTAAACTGATATAAAATCAAATATCAACATATTAATCATTTATCGATGACATAATATAAAATTAGATCATTTCATCAACTAGAGACAGAAATTAAATCATTTCAACCAAAAAGTCCCATAATATATATGGCAAGTAAATAAATAAAAATTATGGCAGGTAAGATCTACTCATTACATTAATTATTAACTTCACCTATTAATAGACTTGCCACCTAAATGAGATTAGAAAATATGGTCCATCTACTTACTCATAAAATTATTTATTTAAGTAAACTAATCACTACTTAGCTTGATTCTTGATGAAATTATAAAATTAAATAATTAAATAATCTAATAGTTACTTAGCAACAATTGTTGATCAATGGATATAGGCTTCGTTTGGTATGTTAGATAACACACCGAATAGAACTAATTATTTGTTTGACGTTTATCTGTTGGTACACATTTATATCTAGTAGTTACTTCTTTTTCCAAGATTAAGATTAAAAGAGAAATTAAGTTCGATTTTTGAATTTTTTGAAATAAAATTTCAACTTTCATCTCGAAAACAAAAATGTAAAGTAGAAGACGTATAACAGTGAAGTAAATATCAAGATGAAAAAGACATGGCGCCACGGTTAGTTAACAGCAGCAGCAGCAACCGCAGTGCACTAAGATTTGAGATTAGGATTGGGATTATTCCAAAACAACAAACAAATTCAGTTGACAATTTGACATTGACACATTCTCTCCATCTGAGAGTTTTTGAGAAAATCTGACCGAGCTATGATGACTAGGGTTTGCCTTCAGCTTCTCCTCCTCTTCTTCTTCCTGCTCTCAATCTGCTCCACCTCCTCCTCCTCCTCCGCTTCCCGCACCTTCACCGTCAATCCGTCCAAAGTCAAACAGATCTCATGGAACCCTAGGTCTCTCTCTTCCCCTTCTCTCTCTAAAATTAATTTTTTTTTTTATGCGATTGGAAGTGGATTGATGTGATTGAATGATCAATTGCAGAGCTTTCGTGTACGAAGGCCTGCTGACGGACGCCGAGTGCGATCACTTGATCTCCATCGTGAGTTTTCCATTTTGCGCATTTCAATTCTGATTTTTTTTTTCTTTCACGCTTTTGTCGTTGTGTTTGATTTTGTTGTTGCGAATAGGCGAAATCGGAGCTCAAGAGATCCGCCGTCGCCGATAACTTGTCCGGTCAGAGCAAGCTCAGCCAGGTGCGGACCAGCTCCGGCATGTTCATTCCCAAGGCCAAGGTCTGCCTTTTTGCTATCCATTACTCATCATTTCTAATTATTTGCCACTTGCCATTCAATTTTATGTTTTTAAACACAAAATGCATTGATTGCATTATAAATGTGGATGTTCGATTGTTCGCAGATAATAATTGGTCACAAATCCGATTGCAAGTCGGCGCAATTAATGTATGTATGATGCTTTTGACGATTTAAATTCGTTGTGTAGGATCCTATTGTTGCTGGTATTGAGGACAAGCTTTCAACATGGACATTTCTTCCAAAAGGTAAACCCTTTGCAGAAGAATACTGTTTGTATTGTTCTTTTCTTATCACCTTCAACAGGTAGTTAACCTTGAATGATACAATTAATATCCAGTCATACATTGGCGATTCAAAAATCAGGGATCAAAATTGTTGACCTTTTATTGAGGTCCTCATGCGTTGCATTGATGGGGCCATGTATCTAGATTCTAGCAGGACGACCTGTTTCTCTTCCCTCTTTGCTTATAATTGGATGTTTTGATGTTCTGATGAAGAAGATTGATGTGAAAACTGAGTGTAAATCAGGGAAAATCAAAATACGACAAGCGTAACTTTCAGTATAGATAGAAATATTGTTATTGCTAATGAATTCGGTGAACATGGGAAATGCTAACTCGAATGTTTGGAGAGCCATGTTGGTAAGATTTCAGAGGTTGTCTATTCTTCTGGTCTAAAAAACTGAGCATTGAAAATATAGGATTGATAAAGAAAAATTGATGTGATGAAATTATTAAAAAAAAAAAAAAGGGTTCATTTTTGGGGCAAGCTTACATGTGATTTGTGTTTCTCGCCTCTCAGAAAATGGAGAAGACATACAAGTATTGAGGTATGAGCCTGGGCAGAAATATGAACCACACTACGATTACTTTGTCGACAAGGTCAATATTGCCAGGGGTGGACACCGCATAGCAACTGTACTGATGTATCTTACTGATGTGGCCAAAGGTGGTGAAACTGTGTTCCCTGAAGCAGAGGTTAGCTGAACTATTCGCCTCCTGTGTTCTATAATTTCTATTGAGCTAACTCGAGCACCATTGAACAGATTAGTGTTACCAGAATTTCTATTTGGTAGTTCTCTACCAACATAGAGTATAATCTTTATTTTGATGATTTCCCTGGCCGCCCTTGGATTGGTAATATTAGCATGACTGACATGCTTGTTAATCTGCATTGGCTTGTTCTATGTCGCATTTGAATCAGCAAAACCCTTGCCATTGCTGATAGTTATTTCAACAACTGTCTATTATAGAAATCATGAAAACCTAGAAGGATACCAAGCCGCAGAAAGTAAGATAAAAAAAGTCAGCAGTTGTGTTATTTGGTTGGGTAGTAGATATAAAGAGGTTTTTAGTTAATGTTGTTGATAGTTATTTTTTGTAAACCACTCTGGCTGCAGATACCTTTACGCCGTAAGGCTGCAGAAATAGATCACAGTCTCTCTGAGTGTGCAAAGAAAGGAATTGCAGGTAAGCTCTCTATAAATTATAAATCAATACAGCTTTTATCAAAATATAGAAATTGTTGTAGAAAAGTTGGTGTTTTCTGTTGTTTTCTCACTTCACCTTGGAAATATTCAGTGAAACCACGACGTGGAGATGCCCTTCTTTTCTTCAGTCTCACCCCACATGCTGTTCCAGACCCGAACAGTCTCCATGCCGGTTGCCCAGTGATTGAAGGTGAGAAATGGTCAGCAACAAAGTGGATTCATGTTGACTCATTTGACAAGAACTTGGATGTCGGTGGGGACTGTGGAGATCTGAATGAGAGTTGTGAGAGATGGGCTGCCCTTGGGGAATGCACCAAGAACCAAGAGTATATGGTTGGAACTCCTGAGCTTCCTGGCTACTGTAGGAGGAGTTGTAAGGTATGTTAGAATTCACTTCATGATTTCCACTTGGAGCATCCTTTGGAGGCTTTCTGTTCCTGTTGTGTTCATTCATTACTTTTTTGGTCGATTGTAATTTTATTTTCATTACAAGTACTTTACAGACGTATATAGCTGAATTGACCCATTACTTGGGTGGCAACTCTGTTCGTCTTTGCTAATTATATTGGTTAAAACTGTACCCTTGCTTTTTGAAATGAAATTCGGCAATAGAAACCCACCAAAAGAAATGTGGCCATGTATATTCTTGAGACCTGAAATAATGACATGAGTAATTACACACTGTTTATAATCTAGCTGGTTGCTTGGAGTATTGTGCTATTTTTATGTTTATAATTTTTCACGGTTCGACTATCCTTTTCTCCGTTAGGAATCATTAGTTGTAACATCTTCCATGTCACTCTCCACATGCTTGAAGTTTGAGAACTGAGACATATGCACTTGCGCACGGCTATTTATGTGCGTTATTGCGCGTTTCATGAGAAAAAGAGATGCAGGTTCTCAATTACTATACTGCTGATGGTGTGATGAAAGATTTAGGAGTTTTCTTTGATAGTACATATATATTAGATTTCAGGGGAAGAGTGTATAGGATACACGTATACACCATATCATAGTAGAATTTTCACTGGGACCAAGCAGCCCAGATTTTAGTGGTGTCACGCATTGATTTTCTTGTAATTTTGTTAGCCACATAAATTAACGTATGTACTTTCCTATCTGTGTTTGATTGGGGGTTGAAATCGTCGCATGTCGTGATGTCTGCAAATTGGTAGGACCCCACTTGGATTCCCATCAAGGTCAGAAGGGGAGGCCCCTACCCCAAGTAAGAGTAGTGGTCCTTCATCCTTTGCATGTCTGTCCAACCATTAGGTCATTTTGGCAGCTTCCGATGCATGCTGTGATTTGGTAATTCATAGAAAAAGCATGGCACACACATGCATCAGAAGTTTGTGATCCAGCATCCCCCTCCCCAGTTCTCAAATATTCGAGAATTGAGGTTGTAAACAAACGGAATTTTTTAGTATGTGCCCGTGTATACCATACACCAACATCTGTAGCCGTTGAGTTCTAATTATTGGATTCTTAGTTGTACATTCAACGCTCCATTTATCTGGTGCCTCCATATTTGATTTATTGGTAAACTGATTTTGGGCGCCGGTAATAAGGTTTGAATAGGATGGAAAGAAAGAAAGGTGCTTAATTGCTCGTTGTGGAATGATGGTGATGCTAATGATTCCTTATCTTAGTGCTTGGGATGGTCAAGTTTCCAGAAGCTAACGCACGTTAAAAGCCATCCACTCGCACGTGAACAACTAACCTTTTGGGTTTTGCAATATCCAAGCATATGAATGGAGCACAAATAGCTACATCCTTTGAAGCATTAAACAACTAGTAGGATATGTTCCTTTTATCTATAGGAATATATAAGAATATGTTTCCACCCATGTATTACAATTTTCATTACCAATTATTGAAAAAAAGAACAAGAAGACACCTTACGTTGTCTTTTTGAGG